CAGCTTTAGCAGTTCTAGTCATTTGTTTCAGTATCTAAATGACTTGATTGTTTTTGGCTCTGGGAATGAATATTGCTTTCATTTTGTTCTAGTCTGTCTCTGCTTTAAACAGCTTGATGTTGAAACAGTCAGTTACCAAACAATAATCTTCCCTCAGGCTCAATGACTTGTATAATGTCACTCGCTCTCTTGTTCTCCCGTATTCCCATATACAAGTGAAGTGGCCATCTTGGGTTGGTCGAGGTGTAAGATGAGAGTTTGATTGAGGGGAACAGTGTGTGTTTTGGAGATACAAGCATGGCTATTGAATAATTCACCTGGCCCAGTATGTATAACTAGAACTGGGCTGTTCCTTTTACTCAACTATGAGGTACTTTTTTCACCTTTGCTGTTTTCTGTGCTGGAAAATAAGTCATTTACATAGCTGTCTTAGCTGTCTTAGCAGTATTTAGGCCATTATAAACCATGTGTTATTACTGTTAGTACATCCATTTGATATGACTATGTTATTACAATATTATTATGATATTATAAAAAATGCTAAACTACTGTCACAGTAGTCCTGTGTGAAGCTCCATAAAGTCATTCATCTCTCTACAGTAAATCCCTCTCATTAACCACCTGCTTTTATGTGTAGGTGTATTGTTATGTCCTCCTGTGATCTGTAATTCCATTGTCCATATTGTGTGTGTGATTAACCATTTCCCATGGGAATTCATGTACTGCATGTACACTGACATATATACCACAACTCACTGGCAGTTACTATTGACTGATGGCCATGTGCCTAGTAACTAACCTGCTGATTGCACCTGTGTTTCTTACTGTAGATTACTTCAGGGACAGGTTGCTGCAGCACTGTTTTAAAGCAACCCAGATCCGAGCAGACGTATTCACAAGTAACTAACCTGCTGATTGCCCCTGTGTTTCTTACTGTAGATTACCTCAGGGACAGGTTGCTGCAGCACTGTTTTAAAGCAACCCAGATCAGAGCAGACTTATTCACAAGTAACTAACCTGCTGATTGCCCCTGTGTTTCTTACTGTAGATTACTTCAGGGACAGGTTGCTGCAGCACTGTTTTAAAGCAACCCAGATCAGAGCAGACTTATTCACAAGTAACTAACCTGCTGATTGCCCCTGTGTTTCTTACTGTAGATTACTTCAGGGACAGGTTGCTGCAGCACTGTTTTAAAGCAACCCAGATCAGAGCAGACGTATTCACAAGTAACTAACCTGCTGATTGCCCCTGTGTTTCTTACTGTAGATTACTTCAGGGACAGGTTGCTGCAGCACTGTTTTAAAGCAACCCAGATCAGAGCAGACTTATTCACAAGTAACTAACCTGCTGATTGCCCCTGTGTTTCTTACTGTAGATTACTTCAGGGACAGGTTGCTGCAGCACTGTTTTAAAGCAACCCAGATCAGAGCAGACTTATTCACAAGTAACTAACCTGCTGATTGCACCTGTGTTTCTTACTGTAGATTACTTCAGGGACAGGTTGCTGCAGCACTGTTTTAAAGCAACCCAGATCAGAGCAGACTTATTCACAAGTAACTAACCTGCTGATTGCCCCTGTGTTTCTTACTGTAGATTACTTCAGGGACAGGTTGCTGCAGCACTGTTTTAAAGCAACCCAGATCAGAGCAGACGTATTCACAAGTAACTAACCTGCTGATTGCCCCTGTGTTTCTTACTGTAGATTACCTCAGGGACAGGTTGCTGCAGCACTGTTTTAAAGCAACCCAGATCAGAGCAGACACATTCATAAGCACCACTGTGAGTGAGTCTGTGTGGATATCTCCACAACCCTAACTCTAATGAAGGGGGGCATGTGTCCCTCTGTCCCTGTCCTGATGGGGGGTGGAGGGGATTTTAAGATTCAGCCCCTAATCCCACTAATCCAGAGCAAAGTCTTCAATTGCCCCTGCTCCTTCTCAATGGGGCTGAGCATTGACACACACACACACACACACACACACACACACACACACACACACACACACACACACACACACACACACACACACACACACACACACACACACACACACACACACACACACACAGACTACCACACACATGAACGCGCCCAGGCACACGCTCCAATTAGTGTTCATCAACCCCTCTCTGAACGACACACACACTGATTCTGGGCCAGTCTCTGTCCCTTGGAGGACGTCACCTAGCCGTGAGAGAGAGCAGGAAAAGAGGCAGAGGAGTATTTATAGAAGAAAATGGGGCCCCTTTTTGGAGAGAGGTTTTACTAAGGAGCGGAGTGAGGGCGTCCCAGTTTTATGATTAACACTGTGCAAACGGGCTGCAGGACTGCAAGTGCACACTCTGGGAGGAGATGCTGGAGTAACTCTGTGACAAGTCTTCATGTACTGTCACCCTTTTCTTGTGTTGCGGTGGCAATGTGGATGACTCTGTGGAGGACTCTAAAGATGGGGTATTTTGAATTGACAACTCCTCTTGTTTGAATGGGGGCTGTTGGTTTGGTCCAAGGTTTTTTTTTACTGTACAGTTAGGAAGCCGGGTTGGATACTAGCTCACAGACAGGTCACCTGCAGTTTGATAAAGTCTGATACAAGATGAAGAAATTTCTACAGAACAAGAAAGGCAGATACTCTTTCAGGAACCAGAACAAGTCTGCTGTTCCTCACTATCACTCTAAAGATGACTGTAAGTCTTTCTGTATGACTTTCATCCACTTATTGAAACACATTACTGTTTCAAGGCTTTGGAGGTTCAACAGCAGACACTGACTCTGTTTTAGTTAGATTATCTGTTGCACATGATCAGACAGAATAGATATTTGTATAATTCTATATTTGGCATGTGTGACCTGTCATGTCAGGGACGTTTTTGGAAGGAAACTCGTGGAGGTTAAAACATGCTGATCCTGTTTTAATGCTCTATATATTTTATAGAATGTTATAAAGCTTCCAAAATCAAGCATTAGGGATTTGAATGTATTACCACAAAAAGCACGATAACCTGCACTCCTAGATTTAAATGTGTTTTCTGTGTTTGACTATGGCAGATATTCTTGCATAGAAAACATTGCCTCTTACAGTTGAAGTCGGAAGTTTACATACACTTAGGTTGGAGTCATTAAAACTTGTTTTTCAACCCCTCCACAAATTTCTTGTTAACAAACTATCTACTTTGTGCATGACACAAGTAATTTTTTGTTTTTGTTTTTCAGACAGATTATTTCACTTATAATTCACTGTATCACAATTCCAGTGGGTCAGAAGTATACATACACTAAGTTGACTGTGCCTTTAAAGAGCTTGGAAAATTCCAGAAAATTATGTCATGGCTTTAGAAGCTTCTGATAGGCTAATTGACATAATTTGAGTCAATTGGAGCTGTACCTGTGGATGTATTTCAAGGCCTACCTTCAAACTCAGTGCCTCTTTGCTTGACATCATGGGAAAATCAAAAGAAATCAGCCAAAACCTCAGAAAACAAATTGTAGACCTCCACAAGTCTGGTTCATCCTTGGGAGCAATTTCCAAATGCCTGAAGGTACCACGTTCATCTGTACAAACAATAGTATGCAAGTATAAACACCATGGGACCACGCAGCTGTCATACCGCTCAGGAAGGAGAAGCGTTCTGTCTCCTAGAGATGAGCGTACTTTGGTGCGAAAAGTGCAAATCAAACCCAGAACAACAGCAAAGGACCTTGTGAAGATGCTGGAGGAAACAGGTACAAAAGTATCTATATCCACTGTAAAACAAGTCCTATATCGATAAAACCTGAAAGGCCGCTCACCAAGGAAGAAGCCACTGCTCCAAAACCGCCATAAAAAAGACAGACTACAGTTTGCAACTGCACATGGGGACAAAGATCATACTTTTTGGAGAAATGTCCTCTGGTCTGATGAAACAAAAATAGAACTGTTTGGCCATAATTACCATCGTTATGTTTGGAGGGAAAAGGGGGTGGCTTGCAAGCCGAAGAACACCATCCCAACCGTGAAGCAGGAGGGACTGGTGCACTTCACAAAATAGATGGCATCATGAGGAAGGAAAATTATGTGGATATATTAAAGCAACATCTCAAGACATCAGTCAAGAAGTTAAAGCTTGGTCGCAAATGGGTCTTCCAAATGGACAATGACCCCAAGCATACTTCCAAAGTTGTGGCTAAATGGCTTAAGGACAACAAAGTCAACGTATTGGAGTGGCCATCACAAAGCCCTGACCTCAATCCTATAGAACATTTGTGGGCAGAACTGAAAAAGCGTGTGCGAGCAAGGAGGCCTACAAACCTGACTCAGTTATACCAGCTCTGTCAGGAGGAATGGGCTAAAATTCACCCAACTTATTGTGGGAAGCTTGTGGAAGGCTACCTGAAACGTTTGACCCAAGTTAAACAATTTAAAGGCAATGCTACCAAATACTAATTGAGTGTATGTAAACTTCTGACCCACTGAGAATGTGATGAAAGAAATAAAAACGGAAATAAAATATTTCTCTACTATTATTCTGACATTTCACATTCTTAAAATAAAGTGGTGATCCTAACTGACCTAAGACAGGGAATTTTTACTAGGATTAAATGTTAGGAATTGTGAAAAACTGAGTTTAAATGTATATGCTTGAGTCGCTCTCATGCCAGCAATAGAGTGGTATTATTTCAGAGCCCTCCGTCAGATAGAGATTTAACTTTGGAAGAGAATGCTTCACGCTCCTCAAGGTCAAATACTCTGAGATGCCTTTGGAGTTGTGAACGTGGTCAGCGAACCCAACCGTTCGACAGGGGATGAGAGCACCGCTGAGATCACCGCTGCTGAGAGCACCGCTGAGATCACCGCTGCTGAGAGCACCGCTGAGAGCACCACCGCTGAGAGCACCGCTCTGCTTCTCTCATTCTCACCTCAATCCAGAACATCTTTCAGTTGATTCTCATCATACTCCCTGTGTGTTTCTTCATCTTCCTCTCCTCTTCCTCATTCTTCTTCTTCTCTCGTGTAGTCATTGCAATGCCGACATCCAATCAGGGCTGGCCAGAGGAGTTTGGCTTCCAGCTGGGAGGAAGTGGTCCTAGCTACATCCTGTCTGTGGAAGAGGGGAGCAGTGCCTTCCTGGCGGGGCTGCAACCAGGTGACCAGGTCAGAGAGATTCTAGGTCCTAAGACCGAAAGGCCCAATCAGCAATTATTTTAATCCTTTATTTAGCCATTATTTAACAAGGCAAGTCAATTGACAACTATGCTGTTAATAGTATTATGTTAATACTATGATCATATTATGATGATAATGTAATAGTATGATCAGGGATTTATAATGGAAAAGCTGTTTCTGGGTCTCTTCATTATACTGTTTCTCTGTGCTGGAGATCAGGTGCTGGAGATCGAGGGCCAGAATGTGTCCACTCTGGGATTCCAGGCTGTCATCTCCATCGCTCAGACCCATAGGAACATCCCTCCCAGCATCGGAGTGGTGTCTCGCATCCAGCAGGTCTGAACTCACTCTGACTGGGACTCACCTGGCACCATCATACTGTAGCACAATGTTTGATAGTTCTGATTGATTTTATGAAAAACATTTTATATTTCAGTTTGTACCTACTGAAAACCTGACTCACTGTATTTGTGATACCTCATGTAACCCCAGAAACTGTAGTGGCAATGCTGGATTTGCCGCCCTAATTTCATCGGCAAGGCCATACTTTTTCAAGTCATTAGTAAAAACAATTTCTCTCTATCTTGATATAATACAGTGAAAGTGAAATAAGAATTCTATCTCTGCCTCTCAGATGGACATCACCCCGGGTCCTGACGGTCGTTTCGGCTTCACCATCGTGGGAGACTGCCCCCTCCTGGTGGAGGACTGTTCCCCCTGCTCTCCGGCGGGACGGGGTGGCCTGCGGGCCGGCGACTACGTCATGGAAGTCAACGGGATCCCGGTGAGGCAGCACGAGATGGCGGCGGCACTGATCAAGACGTCCCAGGGGAGGCTGAGGCTGGGGGTGCTGTGTCTGGGGCCCAGACGGAGAGTACACAGCAGTGAGAGTATGGATGGGATACAGCCTGGGGAAGATGGGGTGAGGACGAACCGCAAACACAAGGCCCTGGAGTTCAACAGGAAGGTGAGGCTTTCTATTAAACTAACTTTTGTATGAGTTGGAGCTATACAGGGGAACATTGATGTCCAGAGAAAACAACAGTTTGAAAGAGAAGCTATACTGTTCAAAAAGAATTATGCAAGTCTTTCTTTAGGGAGGCTGTGTACTATACCCCCTTCAACAACATGTTATTGATATCTTTCAGATTGACCAGATTTTGGGGGAGGAACCTGAGGTGAAGGAGAGGCTGTTTGCGGTACTGAAGCAGTACGCTGCGGAGAAGAAGGTTGATTGGCTGGCCTCCGTCCTCCCAGACATCCTCACCACTGACGAGCAGCAGACACTCATCGGCAACATCAGGTACCGGAGTCTCTGCTCCCTGGGTATCATCCAGACTGTTGTATTCAGTATAGAGGAGGCAGCCTACCAGATGTACATTAAATCCTTATTCCCATTTAGACATCCTAGTACAACCCAGGTGGGATGCAGCCTAAGTCTAAAATCCCCATTTCGGAGTCCCAGTGAAAAGTAATAGTCATCTGTGGGGATTATTGTCTGATGGGTGTGTAAACAGGCTTTTCCTTTTGCTAATTTAGCTGGTGGGGGGTGGGGGGGGGGGGGCTTGATTAGCGTCAACCATAATCACACTGTGCTTTAGGTGGACGCCATCTGCTGCAGACCTGGCTCAGGGTAAACCCACAGTGACCCTCCTGTTAGGTTAAACTGGTAGGGGTGTGAGTGAAACTGCATAGCCTGAGCCAAAATGGAGTCTTGAGCCAAATCAAAAGGGTTAGTGACAGATCTGCCAGATAAGATTTGCAGGTGTTCACAATAATCACTGGTTGAGTGCCATTGATGATCAGAAGTTAAACTCAACAAAGGCAAAGCCAGTTTTAGTGTGGCCGTTTCAAATTCTACCTGATGTTTACAAATGTTGCCAGCACTGTTTCTGTCTGAGATCAGCTCAAGGATCTGCCAGTATTGTAATCATTACTGTCTTTGCCTTTTTGCATGAGATTAGTTTGTCTGTGACCTCGACTGAACTATGGCCGAAGACTCATATTGTCAGGCATTTCAATGAAGAAATACTTGTCTTATGTCTGTTAGTGTGTGAAAACGAGCAACAAGACTCACACTAAACCCTTAATCCAAGTACACTAAACTCTTAATCCAAGTACACTAAACCCTTAATCTAAGTACACTAAACCCTTAATCCAAGTACACTAAACCCTTAATCCAAGTACACTTAACCCTTAATCCAAGAACACATTTTCCTTTACAGTGCCTTCGGAAAGTATTTAGACCCCTTGACTTTTTCCACATTTTGTTACGTTACAGCCTTATTCTTAAATTTATTAAATAAATGCAAATCCTCAGCAATCTACACACAATACCTCATAATGACAAAGTGAAAACACGTTTTTAGAAATGTTTAGAAATGTATTAAAAATCAAAAACAGAAATACCTTATTTACATAAGTATTCAGACCCTTTGCTATGAGACTCGAAAAAATTGAGCTCAGGTGCATCCTGTTTCCATTGATAATCCTTGAGATGTTTCTACAACTTAATTGGAGTCCACCTGTGGTAAATTCAATTGATTGGACAAGATTTGGAAAGGCACACACCTGTCTATATAAGGTCCCACAGTTGACAGTGCATGTCAGAGCATAAACCAAGCCATGAGGTCGAAGGAATTGTCGTAGAGCTCCGAGAGGATTGTGTTGAGGCACAGGTCTGGGGAAGGGTACCAAAAAATATCTGCAGCATTGAAGGTCCCCAAGAACAGAGTGGCCTCCATCATTCTTAAATGGAAGAAGTTTGGAACCACCAAGACACTTCCTAGAGCTGGCCGGTCAGCCGAACTGAGCAATCGGGGGAGAAGGGCCTTGGTCAGGGAGGTGACTAAGAACCCGATGGTCAATCTGACAGAGCTCCAGAGTTCCTCTGTGGAGATGGGAGAACCTTCCTGAAGGACAACCATCTCTGCAGCACTCCACCAATCATGCCTTTGTGGTAGTGTGGCCAGACGGAAGCCACTCCTCAGTAAAAGGCACATGACAGCCCACTTGGAGTTTGCCAAAAGGCACCTAAAATACTCTCAGACCATGAGAAACAAGATTCTCTGGTCTGATGAAACCAAGATTGAACTCTTTGGCCTGAATGCCAAGCGTCACGTCTGGAGGAAACCTGGCACCATCCCTACGGTGAAGCATGGTGGTGGCAGCATCATGCTGTGGGGATGTTTTTCAGCGGCAGGGACTGGGAGACTTGTCAGGATCGAGGCAAAGATGAACAGAGGAAAGTACAGAGAGATCCTTGATGAAAACCTGCTCCAGAGCGCTCAGGACCTCAGACTGGGGCGAAGGTTCACCTTCCAACAGGAGAAACTCCCTGAATACATGTGTGCCAAGCTTGTAGCGTCATACCCAAGAAGAATCGAGGCTGTAATTGCTGCCAAAGGTGCTTCAACAACGTACTGAGTAAAGGGTCTGAATACTTATGTAAATGTCATATTTCCGTTTATTTTGTATTAGCAACAATTTCTAAAATCCTGTTTTTGCTTTGTCATTATGGGGTATTGTGTGTAGATTGACTGTGGCGAAGGTTCACCTTCCAACAGGACAGCGACCCTAAGCACACAGCCAAGACAACGCAGGAGTGGCTTCGGGACAAGTCTCAGAATGTCCTTGAGTGGCCTAGCCAGAGGCCGGACTTGAACCCGATTGAACATCTCTGGAGAGACCTGAAAATAGCTGTGCAGCGACACATCCCATCCAACCTGCCAGAGCTTGAGAGGATCTGCAGAGAGGAATGGGAGAAACTCCCCAAATACAGGTGTGCCAAGCTTGTAGCATCATACCCAAGAAGACTTGAGGCTGTAATCGCTGCCAAAGGTGCTTCAACAAAGTACTGAGTAAAGGGTCTGAATACTTATGTAAATGTAATATTTCAGTTTTCTATTGGTAATACATTTTCAAACATTTCTAAAAACCTGTTTTTGCTTTGTCATTATGGGGTATTGTGTGTAGATTGATGAGGGGAAAAAAACAATTTAATACATTTTAGAATAAGGCTGTAACCTAACAAAATGTGGAAAAAGTCAAGGGGTCTGAATACTTTCCGAAGGCACTATAGATGTGTGGAGATTACTGTTACTTTCGTGCCCTATGAAGGGAGTTAGTTAGAGAGGGAGATGGGCATCTGTCATGTGAGATTAACAGTCTTTAATCGGATTGGTTGGTATGAGGAATCCATCTAAGGGATTGGTTGGTAGGAGGAATCCATCTGAGGGATTGGTTGGTAGGAGGAATCCATCTAAGGGATTGGTTGGTAGGAGGAATCCATCTGAGGGATTGGTTGGTAGGAGGAATCCATCTGAGGGATTGGTTGGTAGGAGGAATCCATCTAAGGGAATATGGACCATGTGGTCATCCGGCTGGGGTCTTACCACAGTGGGGTAACTTTACCAATGAGCTATAGCCAGACCATAGCTTTGATTATCTGACCTTAACCTCTCTTTACTAGAGGGAGTCAACTACACAGAGGCAAACAAGGGGAATGTGGTGGATTGTGCGGATTGTAGTTCCACGTAACGCATTTTAGTCATCTCAGCATCACTTACTGTTATTTGAGGTAGGTAGTGATAGCTCAGTGTAGCCCCATGTAGCTCAGTTGGTAGAGCATGGCGTTTGCAACGCCAGGGTTGTGGGTTCAATTCCCACGGGGGGCCAGTATGACAAATGTATGAAGTCACTAACTGTAAGTCGCTCTGGATAAGAGCGTCGACTAAAATGTAAATGTAAATGATACCTTATGAATGGGGCCCTGAGTTTTTCTTGACCACGTGACCAGACCAGAAAAAACTCTGTGTCCTAGTGATATGATTAGATACCTAGTTATAGAGATTGTTATACTGTAAGATATGGTACTATTTAAGGTTATGTGTGAATAATTGAATATTCAAATGCAAAGCTATTTTGTTCAATATGAACATAAGACAGTGATTCCAGATCCCCAGAGGGCAGCGAGACTTTCCTTTGGCATTATTCTCTAAATATAGACTGAGTGGCATTTAACAGGCCATGGAGATGTTTGTTTTATTCCACTGAATTGGACTCTCTCTCTCTTCCTCCCTCCCTCTCTCTCTCTCTCTTCCACCTCTCTCCTCCTCCTCCCTTTCTCTTTCCATCTCTCTCTCTCTCTCTCTCTCTCTCTCTCTCTCTCTCTCTCTCTCTCTCTCTCTCTCTCTCACTCTCACTCTCACTCTCACTCTCACTCTCTCTCTTACTCTCTCTCTTACTCTCTCTCTTACTCTCTCTCTTACTCTCTCTCTTACTCTCTCTCTCACTCTCTCCCCCCCCCCCCCCTCTCTCTCTCTTTCTGTGATGGATTCTATCCTCATTATTCTGCTTTAAGCTCCTCTGTGGTTGATGAGAGTTCACTGCTGGCGATGGTTCCTAGATACACTATGCTGATTCTATCCCATACCGTTATAATGCATTAGGACTCTCCCATACCGTTATAATGCATTAGGACTCTCCCATACCGTTATAATGCATTAGGACTCTCCCATAGCGTTATAATGCTTTAGGACTCTCCCATAGCGTTATAATGCTTTAGGACTCTCCCATAGCGTTATAATGCATTAGGACTCTCCGATAGTGTTATAATGCTTTAGGACTTCAATATTCAGTTTGTGAACCTATGCACTTACTCACGTTTATTATTGTATAATCCTTTCCCTCTGATTCTGAATTATGACAGTGTACTAACTGGAATTAGCTGTTTTGGGTGAGTACTGTTTATATTATTGGTTGTTTTGGACTGTGGTACTTGCAGTTGTCTTGCAGTGCTGTCTTGCTGTTGCAGTACAGGTAGGGGCACCGCAGTCAGTGTAATGTCACACTTGCCATAGGTGGGCAGATAATTACCCTGGTACACTACTGTCCCTGTGCACCTTTCCTCTGAGGGGGTAGTGTGTGTTGAATGGAAGCCCATGGTCTTTTTCAGAGACTTGTTTGAATGTTTCTACTATTTATTGTTGTGCAATGATTTAATGCAGAGGTCTGAATCAGTGTTGACTGTATACTTCTTGCTTGCATATTGACTCTCAGCACTTGAATAGGTCAACATGAAACATTCTAGGATTTTGTACCAGATTATACGATTGATACTTTTTGTCTCTGGCTATTCCTAGAATAAGCGGTAAACTAGAACTCATAATAAGTGATGGGGCTTTTTTAGTATCTAATCCAGGGCTCTCCAACCCTGTTCCTGGAGACCTACCATCCTGTAGGTTTTCACTCCAACCCTGCTCTTAGAGAGCTACCCTCCTGTAGGTTTTCACTCCAACCCTGTTCCTGGAGAGCTACCGTCCTGTAGGTTTTCGCTCCAACCCTAATCTAGCACACCTGATTCTAATAATTA